CTGATTTTAAAATCGCATTTTGAAGATGCACTTTTAAATGGAAATTGCATTTTCAACATGCAATTTCATCTTGAAATCACATGTTGAAAATGCGATTTTATTTCAATTGAAATTGAACATGCAATTTCACCATGTCATCATAAATTGCCTTTTTAATATGTGATTTCAAGGTAAAATTACATGTTAAAAATGTAATTTCAATTTTAAAATTGCATTTTGAAAATTCGATTTCAAAAAGTAGGTTAATTTTCTAAATAGTTTGAAAAGTAGATCAATTCTCTAAAAAAAAAATTTAGAATACTAAAAAAGGAAAAAAAAAAAAAACTCCCCAAATGGGCCAATACCTCTCAAATTTCGAACAGCACTTGATCGTGGTTTTTGTTTTTTTTTAGATGAGACTTCTCTTCCATTTGAAATTAAATTAGAGTGTACTGTTAGACCTATGGGGCTTACCAAAGGTCCATTTTGGATGATTCGAATCATTGAATGTGTAGAGCTCGTCGAGTATTATTTATATACAAAAAATTAAATTAATTGGATTTTAATAGCCACTTGATCAAATCATATTTTTGTCAATAGTAAATATGATTTTAAAATAAATTAGTGACAAAAATATATTCTGATCAAGTGACTATCAATATCTGATTAACATGATTTTTTATAAAGATGGAGTATTCGATGAGTTCTATATATTGACGGTTTAAATTTTTGAAATTGGACTCGTGGTGGGGTCCATGGGCTCAAATAACACCTCCAATCCACTTTATGGACAGAAGAGAATACAAACTTTTTTTTTTTTTTTTTTTTTGACTTTTTTGTGTTTGACATGATATTTTTTTATTGTTTTGTGACTATAAATCAAAAAATACGAAACTAACGTTGTAATGATAAGTTGGGAAAAAATTTTTAAAAAAAAAGAAATTTTTTTCCAAAAAGTCAACAAAAAAAATGTCCCTTTTTTTTTTTTTTTTGACTAAATTATAATTAAGGCTTACCTTGAGAAGTAGGGTAAACATTAAATTTTTTATTTTTTTTTCAAAAATTTATAAAAAAAAATAAAGAGATGGTGTTATTTAAAAAATCAAAAAATTAACTTTTTAATCCATTTGTCAGAAATACGCCTAAGTTCTAAATCTACAGAATGATCAATTTTTTTGTTTTTATTTTCTTTGATGGACCCACATATGAGCAATTTACTATTTAAACCTTTGGGAATATAGTTTTTATTTTTAAAAAAATTATAAATTATTATATAAAAAATAAAAAATCAATTTTAAAAAAAAAAAAAAAAATCACTATTCCGGTCAACCGGCTGGTCAATCGGCCGGACGACTGGTTAGGCAAAATTTGCAAAAAAAAAATTCTAAAAAGCGCGGCTGAGACAGAACTCTCTGCAGAGTTTTGGAAACGTGATTCCAAAACTCCTACCAAACATCATATTCACATGTAGGTGTGGAATTACGTTTACAAAACACAACCAAACAGAGCCTTTATTTTTTCTTACAAAAGTAAAAAAAAATCAAAAGTTCATCCCAAACGAGTCTTTTTAACCTTAAGCTAAAATAACTAAAAAGTTAAAAAGCCAAATTTTGGGACCTAACAATTTAATTAGGTTAAATTACACTAATCTAGTTTGAAATTTGAAAAAATACACCCAATCCTATAGTTTTGGTAGATTTATACAGTAAGTATTACTAAACTACAGATGAAAATGAAATTAAAAGTGTTATGTAAATTAAAATAATAAAAAAAAAAGACTTAATTACAGTTTTGATTATTAAAATATGAGTCTTGTGTTATTTCAGTCCTCAATATTTAAATTATGTCTATTTGGTTCTCAATGTATAATAATATTTCAATTTAGTGCTCAATTTTTAAATTGTATCAATCTAGTCTCTGATGTATAAAATGTTTTTCAATTTATTCACCCAATGTTTAAATTGGGTGAGTTAGATTCGCAAGTATTAAATTAAACCACTTTCTATCTACATGAATCACTTTCATAATATGGGTCTTATAATAAAGAAGTAATCATCTAATTTATTTGGTGTGGTGTGTGGTTGTGGTTGTGGTTGTGAATGGAATGTATATGGGGTCGAAGTGGCAGTGATGAAGAGTGATGCAAAGCGTGACTTCGGTGACTGCTCTATTTTCGACGCCGCTGTATGTGCATCCAAGAATGCTAATCTTAAATCATATCCAATCTTTCATCAGATCTGAAAATTTGATAAAAACAGTACTCCAATAGTTTCATCAATTTAGTATCAAATGAAGGAAGCGATACTTTTTTTATCAAATGAATGGAGCGCTTATCCTTTAATCTAATTTGTAGGTGACTATTCGCCCGGATGTCCTCCAAGACATTCTCCCGGGCAAACAGTTTTGGGATGAATTTGATGAAAATTTACTTTAAACAGATGACCGGCCAGATTTGATGAAAGGGTTAGAGGGTATTGTATCATATCAAAGTTTTATTCAAATTTGATGAAATATTTGATAATCGATTGGAATACATAATAAATATCTAATCCAAGTAAAGTCCTCCATTGCCTGTGGGGGTGGTTATGAGTATGAACTCCTTCGTTCTCAGCTTAAGTTCCATTATCAAGGTTCAAAACAAAAAAACAAAAATTTGAATAAAGGTCTCCATTTCTTGGAGTGTTGTTATATGACTTGTTCACTATCTGCTAAATAAAATTACTAATGTTCCGTGTTATGAAACTGGGTACTTCAAAAATTGTACCCGATATGGATCTAGTATAAATATATGTATCAGTTCGATTGCACATTGTATGCAACATGCAAAATAAACTTGTTATATTTATTGATATGAGTTTTATTATTTTGTGTATAAAAACGAAAAAATAAAATAAAAAAATAAATTACGTATAGTATTATTCAAAGCAAAATTGATATTTCATTTGTCGCTAACAAATATACTAGTCAACATATCATACATATTGAGAAATGTTTCAGCAGAAATAAATGGCAAGCTATTCTTCGAAAATTGAACTTTCTTCAGCCATGTAGGAGACAGTTTTTGTGAACAAATTGTAGGAGATAGTATCTTGTTAATTTGTTGACGGGACCAATTACATCACCTTCTTTTTTTTTTTTGGGTAAGATGGAGGCCGCAGCCCATTTTTTTTTGTAATTTATAACTTGGATTAATTTGATTCATGTAATTTTAATTTTGTTTTTAAATTTTTTATAGTGTGTCACTTTGTTTCAATTAATAACACTCATTAACAAATTGAATAAAAGTTAAGGATAAAATGATTCGAATCATTTTTCACTCTGGCATTCATCTTCCCACATCATTATGTCCTTCTACCATTATTATTTTGCCTTTAATTGTTGTTAGGTCCCTTTGTTGCCAAATCCGCAAACAAACTCTGTTTTATAGAGTTGTAATTTTTCCTTATTCCCGCTCGAGCGGGAACATTTGCGCTCAAGCGGAATGTGCACTATCTCAGTAATTGGGCGTGTCTGCAAAAATACTGGGAAGTGTGATTTTGCGCTCGAGCGTGGGTTCCAACGCTCGAGCAGAAACCTATTTATTCGCACACGTGTTTTAGTGACTCCGTTCGAGCGGAATGTTCTATGCTCGAGCGGAGTACGCGACCCCTGTTTTCTTGATGTTAAGTCTCTTAGATATCTGTTTTGGGAGCTCTAGGGTTTTGTTTTGGGGCTTGTTTTGCTAGTTTTCCTTGATGTTTTGATTGAGTATTAAACTCATGTTTTTGACAAGCACACATCAAGGAAGTTGACTGTTCATATTCAAGAGTGTTTTTCTTTGGTGGAATCCGGAGATTCAAGCATTAAGTGTCGAAGGAGTTTGATATTGTGCGTGGTCGTTGATTCGACAATAGAAGTTGTGGATTCAACTTCAATCTAATCAATTCCAAGATGAAGGTTGTGGTGAAAGATATACAAAAGATTTGAAGACAAATTGGAAGCGTTTGGGTAATTTGTTTGTTATCTTTGTAATCTTTCTTTCTTCAGTAGTAAATTGATTAGTGGCGTTTCGCCTGTGATTTTTTATCACAATTGAAGGTGCTTCAATTGTAATTTTTCCACGTAAAAATCGTTTGTGTCGATTTATTGTTTTTCGAAAACAACAATCTAAATCATTTTCGTAAGTGCTTAATGATTTAGATTGTAAGTTTTATTTGATTAGGAATTGAAATAATTAAATCTTGATCTAATCATAAATCACTTAGGTTTTTCAATTGTAATCAAAATTATTAAGGAGTATTATCAATTGAATGCAATTGAGACAACTTAAAAATTGACAAATGGATTGCGATTTGATGAAACATATATACCAAGCAAGGTAATCGGCTAATGGAACAATACACTATACAAGGCGGACCACAGAGATATAGAAACAATCGTTGGATAATAAACAATCCAATTCTTATTATTACACAAATAAAATCAATCCAAATACACTAGAAATAAAACAATCAATCATGTCTCTGTATAATAATACTCATATATGAAAATACAAATCAATCAATCCTCAGAAACATGCGTCCAGGACACAGCAGCAACACAGGGCAGCACAATGCATAAAAGAACAGAATACACAAGTACATCATATTAGTACATGATCATATTAGATGTGTATAGTCAAGACCTGATTTATATACTTTTTTTCGATTTTGAAAAAGAGACTTATAATTAGTGGTGTTGGACCGATTTTTAGATTAGATTGTAAGATTTTCTAAACTAATTGTTTTAATTTTTTATATTGTGTCACTTTGTTTCAATTAATAACACTGATTAACAGATTGAATAAAAGTTAAGGGTAAAATGGTTCGAATCATTTTTCACTCTAGCATTCATCTTCCCACATCACTATGTCCTTCTACCACGGCTATTTTACCTTTAATTATTGTCAAAATTATTAAGGAGTATTATCAATTGAGACAACTTAAAAATTGACAAATGGATTGCTATTTGATGAAACATATATACCAAACAAGGTAATCGGCTAATTGAACAATACGCTATACAAGAAGGACCAGAAAGATATATAGAAACAGTCTATGGATAATAAACAATCCAATTCTTATTATTACACAAATAATATCAATCCAAATACACTAGAAATAAAACTACCAATCAAGTCTCTCTATAATAATACTCATTTATGAAAATACAAATCAATCAATCCTCAGAAACATGCGTCCAGGACACAGCAGCAACACAGGGCAGCACAACTGCATAACAGAATCATATTAGTACATGATCATATTAGATGTGTATAGTCAAGAACTGATTCATACACTTTTTTTTTTTTTTTTCCGATTTTAAAAAAGTGACTTATAATTGGAGGTGTTGGACCAACGTCGATAATCGATTAGATTGTAGGATTTTCTAAACTGATTATTCATAAAAATATATATATATATATATATATTTAGACAATCGTAACAATATGATAAAATTTCGTTTATACTTTAAAAAAATAAAAATAGATGAAAGAGATCATTCATTATTTTTAATACAAATTCAATTTGATTATAGGACTATGATTGTCTTTGTCTTGTAGATGAGAGAGAGAGAGAGAACTGACCATCCCTTCCAGAAGCCGTCGCCCCTAGACTGAGTTTTGTAGGGAAGAGGTTGGTTGTTATGGGGTTGTTGAGATTGACCATCTTTCATCGGATAACCGACCGGCGGTGGAACCACGTAGGGACCCTCAGCTGCTGCTGCAGTACTGCTAGGTGCAGGATATGCATATGATACTGCCAAAATTATTTTTAACAAATTCAAGAAGTTAACACACTATCAAATTAAATACTAATGAAAAATTGGAAAAAATCTCTCACATCAGAGAGAAATAAATAAGTAAATAAATGAAGATGTAAAAGCATATATACCCTGTGGCTGGTTTTGATTGTATTGACTCATGTTGATGATTACAAATACAATCTAAGCACAATAGAGAGAGAGAGAGAGAGAGAGAGAGAGAGAGAGAAGGGGGATTGCTGGAGTTGCAGAAGGTGAAGAAAGTTGGAATAAAAAGGGTGTAGAAGATATAAGGATGAGATGTAGACGTGGGCGTGGTGGGGTATTTATAGGGAAAAGATTGAGACAGTTTTTTCTTTTGACTCTACTGCTTTAATGTATTAAGATTCGCTAATTTTTTGTTTTTTTTTTTCTTCTCACTTATTGATATGTGTTGTGAGAGTCAAGAAAAGTCTCTATCATTTTTAGCCTCCGTTTGTGGAGTTGGTTGGCTTTTCTAACTTTTTAGTTTTTTTAACTATTTGAGCTTGGGCTCAAAAATTTGATTTGGGAAGAATTTTTTGATTTTTTGATTTTTTTTATGAGAAAAGAGTGTAATGATTATGGATTGAATGTGATGTTTTGTCTGTTGTGGTTCAAATAACCTATTCTGTCTTTTGTGGTTCAAAGAGTCTAAAAAGCCCAAATGAGCTCTTCCCAAACGACTCCTTAGTATTTATATTAGTAATTTCTTTTATGTTGTGTTTGATTGGAAGATTTGAAGAGGTATTTGAAAAAAGAAAAGAAAAAATTAAGTAAAATATGAATAAAATATACTTATATTTTATCTAATTTTACATTTTTTTTTTCTTTTTTTTTTAAATCCCCCTCTAAATTTTTTAATCAAACACAGCATTAGCGGGAGACCCTTTAAATGAAGGTGGGGACGGAGATGGGTGGAGTTGTTGACTTTTGTTTTTTTTTTTTTTTGACTTTTTTTTTTTCCTTAGAGCAGGCTATCCTGACGTGGACGGCGATGCCGCGTAGAGGAAAGCGATAGATAAAGAACAAAAGCAAAAGGACCAATTAAAAAAATATATAAATAAAATAAAGTGTTACTTGCCACTTTTATTTTAATTTTATTTTATGCATTATTTTTTTTTAATGGGATATTCATTACAATTATGTTTATCTCTTTTACAAGAACAATTTTTAAAAAGTGATTTTTAATTTAAAATCCTTATTATTAGAATTTTATGAGATAGAAAATATGTAATATTTTTATAGTAATTCGTAGAGATGCAAAAAAAAATCGAAAAAATTGAACCGGACAAAATCAATTATATTTGTTCTGTTTTTAATAAGAATCAATCTGTCCAATTTTTCATTTTGATTTTTTCGATTTTCGGTTCGATTTGGTATCGGTTCAAGCACCTTGTGCACTGAGCTAAACCAAAACTAACTGTTTCAACATATATTGTATTTAATATATATGTATATATATATATATAATTTAATAATATAATTATATTAATAAGTATAATAAATTATTAACCTTAATTAATTAACATTATCATCTCTATAACCTAAATTTGTAAATTCTTATTATATATAATCTTAACTCTAACTCATTATTCTTAAAACCTTAGTATTTTTTATTTTATTTTTTTTTGTTTCATTTTTGTTAATATAGGAATTGAAAAGCAAAACCAACCGTTTCAATATATATTGTATTTAATATATATGTATATATGTATATAATTTAATAATATAATTATATTAATAAGTATAATAAATTATCAACCTTAATTAATTAACATTATCATCTCTATAACCTAAATTTGTAAATTCTTATTATATATAATCTTAACTCTAACTCATTATTCTTAAAACCTTAGTATTTTTTATTTTATTTTTTTTTGTTTCATTTTTGTTAATATAGGAATTGAAAAGTATTTCTTAAATGGATGGATTCGATATGTTTGAAGTGATATTTAATGTTTTTATATAAATTAGTAATTATACTAAAAAGTGACTCAAGTTTGAAAAATCTTAAACTGATTAAATTGAACTGAATTGAACCGCTTCAATTGGTTTAGTTCCGCAAAATTTGATGGGAGAAGCAATGGTGCTCAAAATAATAAAACCGATATTATCGGTTCGGTGAATTTTTTTACCTAAATACCAACCGTACTGAACTCATTACATTCCTAATAGTTGGAATTTTTCAACATTTTCAGCTCTTTATAGAGATTTTTTTTTTATCCATTGAGAAATTTCTCTTTTCCACTCTTCAAAGAGAAAATTTATAGTTTCATAAAAAAATTACTCTATAACGAGTTGAAATTCTTCTAATAATATTATTGAGTGATCTTAACAAGTAAGAAAAAATATATTAGATCACCTCTACTATCCAAAATTAAAGATGAATGATCATTAATTTTCTCTTTTGAAAAAGAGGAATTGTTGTAATTCATCAAATTAAATGGAAAATAAGGGGAAAAAACTACGTCAGGTAGAAAAATAGATAAAAAAGTTTGATTTCATGAATTCTCTGTATTGGACGGCGGGTCGAATCTTTTATTTTTTTATTATTTCTTTTGTGGAATCTTTTTCTTTTTTTCTTTTTTCTTTTCTTTTTTTTCTTTTTGTCTTTTTCTCTGTGGGAAATGTTTCCACGAGTTTGTCCTCATAGCCACTGATCACCGCATCAAATAATCACATCATCATTTGATGAAATCGGACCAAACCACCTGTCAAAGATCAAATGATTTTTTTTTTTTAAGTTTGAAAAAATTAACAAAAAAATCTACAATTTTAATATTATTATACTGACTTTCTTTTTGAGATGATTAAATAGACCAAACTTAATTTAGATGATGCAAAAATACAAAATAAATAATATAAAATATACATTTTTATAAATAAAAAATGATGACAGTATCATTTTTTTTTTATCCATATAACTAATAAATTATTAATAAAAATGAAAATAAATATTATATAAATTAAAATTTTAAAAGAATTCAATATAATTATGTTCAAATTATAGAAGTCATTGTATTTTTTCTAAATTTTAAGTGAGGTGACACTTATTTTTCATTCTCACCACGCAACTTCGTAAGTTAGCTTTTTTTCATTCTCATTTTTTTTTTTCAAATTTAACGATCCTACAAAATAAAAAATAATTTTTTTTTCAATTCAATATAGATGAAATTTTTGATTTAAGAAACTTTTTAAAAACTCTATAAAAAATTTGACATAAGAAAATTTTCACTACTAATAAAACAAAATGAAAATATAATACTAAAAGACCACATCTAGTGGTCTTATAGCCACACCTTAAGATGTAGTGAGAAGAACATTAGGGATTCGAATTGATAGAGTAACGGCAATCCCTTAATTAGTTGTAAATTTTAATGAGGGTCATTTTTCAAAAAGTCCTATTCTTAATTGGTATATTACATTTAATCCATATTTTTTTTAATATTTCATTCGGTTCTGTTCAGAATAATATGACCAAATCACCCTTCTAACTTTTTCCAGATGTTTCCATTTTGAAACCAATACCCAATAATAAAAAAAAGAACAGTCCCTCATTACATGGAGAAAATCTCTCCTTTATTTTATGGAGAAAACCACTCCTTATTCTAGGGAGAATCCCTATATTTGAAGGATATAATCTTTTCCTTATTCCATAAAGAAAATATCTCCCTCATTATGAAGAAAATCTCTCTTTTATTCCATAAAAAAAATCTCTCACATTCTTAAAATCTTGAATCGTCTATCTTTTAAAAATTTCTCACTAAATGTTAATGTGAGCTTTCATATTACAAATGCATGCTAGTAAATAATATTCCCCCATAGAACATTGTTTGTGCTAGTATGACTATTTTTAATGTGAATATTAACATTAATTATGATTTGTTGTTAGTAATGCATAGTTAATGTTGTCATGTTATTTTGGTATTATAGAGACACTGTGAACATTCATATTGTTAAGAATTATTTGATATTGTGTGCATATAACTATTTAGTGTGCATTATGGTAAATGTAATGTTGATGTGAACTAGGGTGAGCAGCAGATATTCCGATCCGTCTAAACCGATCGAACCAAACTGATCTATCATATTTCAGACAGATGCATGATGACGAGCGAATAGTTGCGAATTGCTTTTTTCTAATCCGCTTAGTTTTTGATGGATGGTGGATTTGAGGTTCTTTTGGCCGCAACTGAACCGCCAAACCGCGAGCACCCCTAGTAATTTTTAAAACTTTATGTTTTTAATTTGTTTAGAGATTTGTGTTTTCAATTGAAAAAAAGTTTAGATATGTTGTTGTGTTTTCAATTTGGAAATCATTTTATTAAATGGCAAGTGTTGATATTTGGTATTTTTGTGTGGAAAATATAATGCTTAATTTTGTCATTTTTTAAAAATAAAATTAAATAGTTTTTGAATAAAAAAAAAGTAATGAAATAATTTTGATAAGGCATGATTTTTTTATATGTATTTATTATTGGTATTTGACAATTTACTTAATAATCCTTTGGATATGCTGAGTTGAATTGTTATAAAAAAAAATGTTGACAAGTTGTTGTATTATATTCAAAATTTGTAAAAGTTTAAACCGCCAAACCAATTTGCATCCATCTGTCAATCTGCTTAATCCGCATTTGTCAATCTGGCAGACGGATGCGGATTGATTTTTTCCAATCCACTAATCTGGTGAACGAATGTCGGATTGAAGGTTCTCCAGCCGCAACCGAACCGCAACACCTTTAATGTGAACATTCACATCTCTATGTTATATTATTAAGATGCACAATATGTTGTGACCAAAATATCACATTGTTATTTATGCTTATATGACTATTTCTAATTGTGAATATTAGTATTCATTAAAGACGTAATAATCACAGCACCAATGTGAACTTTCATATCATGTAATAATCATATAAAAATAATGAAAACTCATATAATAATCAATGATATGTGAACGTGAACATGAACATTCACATTATACAATAATCATGTAATCATCAGTCTACATTGCACATCATACAACCATTACACGTTTCTGATATTGAAGTTCACATTACCAAATGCAAAATATTAAAATCTGATAATTTACAACAATATTAATTTCAGTGGATGTGTATATCACATTCACAAAAATACCCAATCAATAAGCATACATATACACGAATATATAACACCATCCATCTTGAAACAAAAAGTTGAATCCAACTGTAATAAATTATTAAGCAATTCTGAACATGCATCCTTACCAACGCATACCTATATGCAGTTGC